CCCCAAAACCCCAAAACCCCAAAACCCCAAAACCCCAGGGGGATTAGTAGTAATTGATAAATGGATAAGGTGAAGAGTTGAGGTGAGAAATGGGAAAGGGGTGAGGTTGAGGTTAGATAGCTGATTTTGGAATTTTAAGGGATTTTAATGGTTTATATTATGATTTAAATTCGATAAATATTATAGTCAAGAATTTTCCTAAAACCTCAAAGCAGACTAAAAGTAAGCATACCTACATCCAAACATTTTAGAAAGTCATAAAGACCCTAAAAAGTCTGGGAAACCCAAAGTAACTCCATCTGCCCCAAATGTCCTTCCATCTATCCCAAATAACCCAACAAGTTTCCCATTATCTAATAATCCCAATGTTCTTGCCCAGCCCTCTAAATCTTCTGAGAAGCCTTTCTATTTGTCCGAGATTCAAGCTGATTCAAATCAAGATTTCGAGGATTCAGAAGAACAGGAATTTCTGCTAAGGCCTTGCCCTGAGATGAGTAAGTAAATGGTGGGCTGCAGAGGAGTTGGAATGTTAAGATTGAAGGCGAGTTTTGCTGAGTTGAATTGAGTTAGGTTATAAATGGATTTTTTGTGTTGTAGAGAGTCTTTAGAGTAAGAGAGATAATATTTGATGAATTATGATTGATTTATTAGCAAATTTTTAATTAATCAGGAAATTAGAAAGAAGTCAAACAAACTCAAAAACTTCAAAAAGCAAAATTCCTACAACCCAGAAATCAAAACAAAGCTCCAACCTTAAAGGAGAAGACCATGAAGAAAACTCTCTCCCTAAATCCACTCAATCAGATACAGAGGATCTTTTCAACGATGACAGGATTTCTAAAGATTCCTCAGAATATATTCACTCTGAAGACGATTTCCATGAAGACAAATCCCCAAATAAATCACCTTTATATCCAAACACTCCTCCTAAGACCCCTCCTGTATCTTCCTTACAGCCTCCTTTGCCTATGTCCTCTTCTGAGACTCCTGAGGTTCAGAAACCAGCAGGTAAAAACTCAGCATCAAGAGTTAAAACTAATGATTGTTAACTAAATTTTCTAGTGAAATTTTTGAAAAGCTAGATTTTACAGGAATTTAGATTTTGGGCAATTTTAAGTTAGATTTTGAGAAAATTTTGTTTAAAAAGGGTATAGAAATTTTAGTGAGATAGGAACTTTGTAAGGTTGGAGATGAGAATTGGAGTTTTAAGTATATTTTAAGGAGATTTTGGCTTTTTTGTTTTATTTTAAGGGTAGAAAGGGAGTTTGAAGAAGGTCAAAATATTTTTGATTTTGGTTGATTTGTGCAATACTAATATTTAGAAAAATTTAAAAAGCTAGAAGAAAGTTCTCGAAATTCTGATAGAACTATACCTTACAATGGTTCTCCTGTAACTGACAATAATAAATTGGAGGAAGAAAAGAAAGAAAATGATCAGATGCTCAAAGAACTTTATGATGAATTTCAACAAAAAAGCCAATCTACTCCTCCTATATCTTGAAATCTTTCTAAAACTCCTCAATATAAAGAAATTGACCAAGCTGATGAGGAAAGTGATAAAAGCATCCCTGCTTCAGAGAGTAATAGTCAAGCAAATACCAGAGAAGATCAGAACAAAAGCATAAAATCTGAGGTAAAAGAATAGTCATAAATAAAATTTCAGTCTGCTACATAGCATATTAATTTTAGCTAACCTCTAGAAACAGGTTAAGACTCTTGAAAAATCTGATATTACCACTAATTTGTTAAAAGAAATGAATTTCTCTCCAAAGACAGATCACCCCATGACTCTCCAAAGGACTCAGAACTAGAAAGCAAAAATAAGCCACTTGCTTCTGAAAAAGATGAGATTGAAAGTAACAAAAAAATTGTGCTGGAAGAAGAGGACAAAGAAGAGACCAAGAAAGTATCTAAAAGGAAAAGAACCATCAAGATTGATCAAGAAAGACAAAATAAGTCCAACAAACGTCAAAAAATAAATGAAGAGCCGGAAAATGAAGCCTCGGATAACTTAGATCATCCCAATGAGAATAGTCAGAATCATAGCTATCAGCAAGAATCAGAAGGTAAGATCTTTTTTGATGCTGATCGTCAATTTTCAGTGGATAATGAATTTGTAGAATTGAGTCAGGAAGAGTCAAAGTTAGAGGAGAGTAAAGAAGCAACTTCAATGTCAAAATCTCAAAGTGGAGGTGAAAAAGAAAATCATAATGATCAGAGTGTTGAGAAGTCTGAGGAAGAAAAAGGAAATAGCTGGAATATGAATTTTATAATTGTAAGTTAATTTTGTGGGAAATTTAGAATGAATGCATTAGAAGTCTAGTCCAAGTTTGCGATGATAAACACAAAGAGCAAATGCTAAAACTTAAAAATATCAGAGAAACCCTTATAAATAAAAAGAAAGAATGAGGTAATATCCCATTGATCTTTGCTTTATAACTCATAATTCAAAATATTCACGATATTTTAGAAGTTTATAAACTCTTCGAAGATTTCAGAACAGTATTTGAAGATGAAATAAAAAGATCAAAATCAAGTACATTAAAAAGGTACAAAAAATCCATATAGTAAGAACCGACATAAACCTAAAAACTTAAAACATTTGCATGAAATTGTCTAAGTTTGAGTTTATTCCAACTTCCTAAAAACCATATCTAAGATCTCTTCCAATTCCCTACCCAAATTCTTACTCAAACCGTTCCCAAACTAACACCCTCGTACAGAACACCCCTAAAAACTGCTAATCACCCAACCTCCTCCTCCAACCCCCCTTAATTCCTAACTCCCACCACTAAACCTCATTTCTCAATTTCTACTCCCCCTAACGGGGTTTTGGGGTTTTGGGGTTTTGGGG